GTTCTCCAATGTTATTCAATGTCTTATGAGTCATTAAAAAAGCTATGATTTTCCTGTTCTGAGATGCAGAAGTTTGCTGGTGTAGAGGTGGGCTGATAACAGCAAGATTGCTCATTATTATAAATGATTTGCACAAACGTTACTTCTGATTGGCTAACAGAACACGTTCAGCCATGTTGCAAAGTCACTATCACCAACACACGTTCCGCTTTCTCTCTCCTCGCTGCCAGTTCTTTTTGCAAAGACTTCCTGTGGGCAGACATGAGCCAAGATAGGTGCGGCTAAAAAAGATGTGGGTTCAACTTTCATTTTGGAACAATTTTTCAATCAAGGGAAGAGAATGATCTGAGCATGCAGGAGGACTGACCCATCTTAAACCTTTGTCGGCTGTGCTGAAGAGAAAGGTACAGAACCAAATTATTTAATTAATTAGCTGCGCATTCTCCTGTCCTGTGTCCTCCGTGCCACACACACACACACACACACACACACACACACACACACACACACACACACACACGCACACACGGGACTGTCTCAGCTGTTATTTTCGTTAAGGAGTGTGCACGTACAGCATGCGCGCCTCGTGCACGAGCCTACTATTGAAACTGCCATTACGCTTTTGGCCTGAGGGGGCAATCGCGAGCATAAAAATTCAAAACTCCATGAAGTCCCTTTAAGGAATTACCTTGACTAAAGATGGTTCACACAGTATGTGAGCATTCACTATTGCAGCTGTTGTTCCATATGCATTCTTTAAAGCAATACAAGGCATGTTTTCACACACTTTGCTCTGCTCTGCAGGTGCAGCAAAGAGACCAGTGCATCTCACACTGGCTGTACATATTTACAAGATATAAAACGCCCTGAGTGTCACAGTGTTAGTTTCTGTGAGGCTGGGATATATATAATATTCAGCTAAAGATGTATGTTGGTAAATTTTACTGTTGTTTTTTTTAGCACTACCCTGCTTTACATTCAGAATATCTGCACCAGTTTGAGACTTGTCAGCACTGTGTCACACCCTGTCTTGTCTCCCTGTTCTGTTTAGTCATGTGTCTCTGTTAATTGCTCCCACCTGCCTCTCATTTTCCAATCACCCAAGCTCCCAGCCCTCATGTATTTAAACCCCTTCAGTCCTGTGTCTCAGGTTGGTTCATTGTTTCAGTAGTCCAGCGTGTTCTGTTATTAAAACCCTTTTGTTAAACTGTTCCTGCCTGCCTGTCTGCCTGCCTTTGCACCTGCATGTGGATCCTGCCTCCGCTTCACTCACAGGCACGCTTGTGACACACTGTCAGCCCCTCAGCAGCTCCACTGGATTAATAAGCAACACTTTGTGTTATTCAAGGACAAATAAATGATGGCTGTTGAGGGAATTTTTCTCCCACCAGATTTCTTTAATCTGTCATGGGATTTGAACTTGGAAATTAGTAACTTTCTGGTTGTAACTGGTCCCAGTATCTTTGAGGTTTAGCAATTTGTTTCATTTATTTCTCTTCTAACATTTTTTTATTTCTGTAATAATAAACAACATTTTCAGAGCTTTATGAAACTATAACCCCCAATTTGAAGCATAAAGGACTTAGCCACGCCTTTTATTGTACATGAGCCAAGAATATCTCTAATTACAAGCCTTTGTTAGTGATCTCAATTACTTCATTGCATTCGTAGATTTAGTGATTTAATGTATTAGGTAATTAACTAATTAGAAATAAACCGCCTCTCTCATTTGATGTGGCAGTCGTGGTTGAGTTCATACCCACAGCTCATTACACCCATATGTTGTTGGTATACCATTACATAAACATGATTTTTACCATGCATGTTGCTTAATCAGTCAACAGTGAACACACACTGAGTGAATACATACCACTCTAGTGGCCAGCTGAAGGTAGCAGAGACTTTTTGAGTTTGAGCTGCTCATTTGGACAACATTTAATCATGTGTATGCAGCTGAACACATGTACATACAAGCAGTGATGTGCAAGTTAACACTTTAAAGAAACTGTAGTGAGCCTTTTTTTTACAACATAACCAAACAAGGGTGTCAGGGATTGATAGCTGAAAATGTTATCAAGCAATCATATTGACAAATTGACAAAGCTCAGCTGAGAAGCAAAATGTCTCCAAGAAATCGAAGTCCAGTTGCCTTCATTTGAACCCTTTTCGATTACCATGACCTGGACGACTGAGATCCTTCACCAGCTTGTTGCAAAAAAGCATTCACGTAAGGTGGACCCTGGTCATGCAACGTTTTAAATGTCAGAAAAAGGGGTGACGGGTGGAATGATCTTGCCTTCTAGTTGATGTTAAAAGCCTGGCAGCAGCATTCTGCACCATCTTCAGGCGTGATAGAGCTGATTGGGTAACACCAGCATGCAGAGTGTTGCAGTAGTCTAACGCCGGGGACACACCGGCCGCGGAAGCGCCGCGAAGCGCCGAGAAGCGAATCGCTCACGAAATTCGGCCGCTGCTCGCCGCTCCTCAGTTCAGATCAGACGCGCCCCAGTCGAGGTGCGCCTCGGCTCAGCTGTAGTTTTTCTTTTAAACACTTGGTGTCCTCCATTTCCTCTCTGCCTTTTTTCAGCTCTTTTCCTCTACGTGTGTGTGTGTGTGTGTGTGTGTGTGTGTGTGTGTGTGTGTGTAGTATGAGTTGTTTCTGCCAGTTGAATCTCTTGGAACCCGCTCCAATTCTGCAGCTGTATCCTAGCAGTTTCTTCCGAAATGGGTACGTAACGTAAATAATCATGTTTTTCGGGGGTCGTACAGCTCCTTGTGTTTCTCATCTTCCATAATTAATTTAAAGTCATCCATCTTAACCGCTTGCCTCAGACTTTCTGCCTCTCTGTCCTGTTTGCTCCGGTGAAGACACCCAAAACCACTCCCCCCCTTCACGTGGTCACACACGCACACAAGTTCGATGTGTGTGTGTGTTCGTGTGGTTTTTCTGCGGTGTCTGTTTACGAACACATTTGACTATTGCGTGATTTTATTTTGAAATGCTTTATTTTGTTAACTTTACCGGCCTGCCTCTTATGTCTAGGTTTGACTTCCTGCCAGAATTGACGCGATTCACCCGCGGCTCGCGAAAAAAATAGAGCCAACGCCGAAAAGATCGCTGCACGGCGCGGGCTGGAGCGCCGGCGCGAGGCGATTCGCGGCCCATGTGGTCTATAGAATAGCTTAACAAGTGCGCCGAATGAAAGCGGTCCCATTTTCGCGGCGCTTCCGCGGCCAGTGTGTCCCCGGCGTAACTCAGTGGTTCCCAATCTTTTTTTCAAATGACCCACATTTGGAAAAAGACGAAACAGCGTGACCCCATTAAAAAAATTTTACTCATAGTAAATGCAACTGTTCTTTGAACAAAATCCTATGCATTTTACTATCCTTTGCATTTCTTCTTTTTTTAACTTAAAAATGTCTCAAATTTGAACATAAAAATGAAAAACTGTATTTGAAACAGTATGTACATTTTTAATGTGTTTAGAAACGATCTGAAAAACAAAAGATTTTCAGAATAAGGATAATGTTTTTATCTTTGGACATTAAACGGAGTATTGCACAAAACTTTTAGATAAAACATTCAGAATACGCAAATATCCAAAAATAGTTTTAAGCATAGAAAATATTTTTCACATATGCTTAGTGATGAAAGTCATAAATATGGCTTTTACCAAAATGTTTTTTTTTAATAATTTTTTGCCTTGCTAATGTGATGGATGGGCTTGCTTGTTTTTCAGCATTGCATTCGAGTCTGGTTTACAAGAGGATAATGCAACTCTCATATCTGGTGCAGCATTCAGTCTACTTCTGAATTTTGTCTTTATTTTTGTTAGAACTGAGAACCCTACTTCACATTTGTATGTTGTTGTGAAGGGAATGAGAAGCTGAAAGCTGGCCTTACTTAAGGCAGGATATTCAGATGAGATGCTTATCCAAAATGAGGACAACTGCAGGCATTCATGTCTTTTCATTAGCAAAGGATCACTGCTCAGTTGTAACATCTCTGTTTCTTCTCCGGGAGTCAATCCTAACTCAAGCAGAGATTCTGGACTTTCATAAGCGAAGGGATTTTGAATCCACCTTTTGCCATTCAACTCATCAAACCTCTCTTTTGGAAAATAGCGGTCAAAACTATTATTAAGAGCTACAATGTGTGTTACAATGAGTTCAGTAAGATGCTTTACTTGTGTGTCAGTGACATCATTTTCTTCTATGTGTTTTAACACATTTGGAAACATGTAATGACATGGATTTGGTCCTTTGATGCGTGCAAGCCACAATTTTAGAGACCTCTGAAAAGTGAGAAAACGTTTATAGTTGTGGAAAACGTCATCATGCTCTCCCTGCAGTTTCAAATTCAGCTCATTCAGCAATGAAATTATATCTGCCAGAGATGACAATGTAAAAACCCACTTATCAGTAAATAGATCAGCAAGAGGGGACTTCTTCTCCAGGAGGAACGCATGGATTTCATTTCTCAGTTCATATACTCTGACCAGCATGGATGTAATTTTGGGGGGGGGGACAGGGGGGACATGTCCCCCCACTTTTTCCAAAATCAAGTTTTGACCCCTGCACTTTTTACCATCCAAAAACAATATTACGCTATATTAAATTGACAGTGGTTGAGCTCTAGGAACAAGCAGAAAACAACCATTTGTGTTGAAGCCTGTTTCCCATTAGAACATACTGTAAAGATTTTATTCTGTTGTCAAAGTATCCCACCCAGATTTTACTTGAAAAGATAATAAGACAAAGCTGGGATTGTGCTTCTGTGTCCTTTATACAGAGCTCTACAAAGCCATTGTAAAGAACATTAAATTAAATTTGCTGCATTAATTCTGCCTTTGAGGCTATTTCTCCTTTTTGTAGAAATGCTTACTCAGCATTGCCGGAAATGTTCTTTATGATCCAATGTTGCAAAGTCATAATTTTGCATTAGATTACAGAAAATAGTTTCTCATCTCTGTTTTACCTTCTTGTTTGTGTTCCTCCAGGTCAAGAGTGGCCATGCCATTTGGCTGTTTGACAGTTGGGGAGAAGAAGGATTACCACAATCCTTCGGATGTGACAGATAAATATGATCTGGGTCCAATAGTTAAATCGTAAGTATCTCAACGGCTTCTATACTGCAAGAAAGCCCCTTCACTTGGGTAAAACTGAAGTTATTTAATTTTTCTCTTCAGGGAGGAGTTCTGTGAAATATTCAGGGCCAAGGACAAGACTGCAATGAAAATGTATACATGTAAAAAGTTCCTGAAAAGGGACGGGAGAAAAGTCCGCAAGGCCGCTAAAAATGAGATCCTCATCCTGAAGATGTGAGTATTTAATGTTTTTTATAAGAAACTGCCAAAAGGTTGATGGCACAATAAAGTGTCTGAGTCCTGCTATTCTACACCTTCCAGAGCAACATTAGGCACAATATGTGGCTCGTGTCACAAGCATTATTTAAAGTGCAGACCAGATAAGAAAGAATTCACCTTTTCGCAACTTTGGAGATTACCTACCTGCTAGCAACTCTGAGAGACTGGAGGTTAATGTTTACAGTCCAGGGGAGGAGGGTCATGTTGTGGGCAAGGTGCTTAACCCAGGACATGAAAAACCACACGTGAAAACCAGGCAAGTAAAAAGAGTAATATTTTAAATGAAGCTAAGGAAAAACTAAGGGCGCTGCTCCAGAAAAGCAGGGACAGGAACGGACCGGAAATCTAAAACAAAATAAATAAAACAATTGTGAATATGAGGCGGGACCAGAGAACCAAGAGAAGAATAAGTTTGGTATTTGAATTGTTCTTACGGTCTTAAACCAGTTCTTAGCGGAGGTGGACTGGGTGAAGTTCAGTGGAGGAGAGGCGGCAGGTCGGATGGTTGTAGAGGAGGTGGACAGGAGAAGGTTGTGTGAGTCCAGGGTGTAGGTTGGCAGGCAGAGCGATGGAGTGGAGGCCAGAGGATCATGAGTGACGGGACGAGGAAAACAACTCCAGGCGTGGTTAGAGGATGCGAGGCGTGATGCTAGAAATAAGAGCATACAGGATCTCATAGAACAAGTTCGTTGGAAGATCAGGTAATGTACTGGGCTAGAAGCTACCCTGGTGAGAGTATCACCCGGCGCTGGAGTTCTTCTTCTAATAAATTTCCGGCAGGCTATACGCTGGAATGCACAATGCTGCGCTCCACAGTTATATTCGGCGCTGGAGTTGTGTCACACCGCTCCTTAAATCCCCTGGCCCTCTGATTAGTGGAATCGGGATCAGCTGGAGCTTATGCCACGCCCACCTGCAACACAAACAGCTGACTCCCAGGTTACCGCACCTGCTGATAGAGGCAGACCGTAACAAGGAGGGATCTGGATTCAAGGTACAAGGATGGGGCATGGTGAGGCAACCACACCCCATCCAGGCATTTGCAATAGTTTAGTAGAGTTTAGCAGAGCTAAAACAAAGAGGTAGCTAAGACAGGAAATGCCTAACGCCAAAAACTGCTTTGGAAAGGGTTTCATAAGGAAATAACACTATAACGTGGTCAAATGCTCCAAAAGTTGATTTTGCATGACATAAGACCTTCAAAGGAATACTTTTCTACTTTCTCATATTTTAAATCATTTTCTTGAACCAGTATGTGCTAAAATTATGCTTTACAGGGTTAAAGAAAGTCCACCCATCCCCCATCACCCCGTGTGGCCAAAACATCGCACTTGTAACATCCCAGTTTCCATCCGGTCTGTTGGGACTTGATCTGACCTTACCTGCAGCTGCTGTCTAGCTTCAGCATGTTGCATGTTTTAGATCATGAGCACAGCTGATTTGTTTAATTCAGTGATGAATCACTCCTCTAAACACTTGCTGGGAGACATTTCAGCTGTTAGATTAAGGTGTCAAAAAGATGAACGCACAGCAAGGAGATGGGTTTTGGTTTTGCTTCTACAAACAGAACCTAGGGGGTGCTAAAAGCAGGCAAAAACGGCCTCGTCTCCCTTTATAGGTGCATTAAGTAGAAATGACGTAAAATGACATCCTGTGATAAAATTTGGTTACTGCAGCCACTTTAAACAAATTAATCAAACTTGAATCAAATTACAATTGTCGGCGCTGCAGTATTAGCTCACAGGAGACACGGCACTCCCACACTCACCGATGGTAAACAGTAGTTACGTCACTCCTTCCTTTGTTTTGACAGGAGAAAAATTGACAATCCACACAGCTGGATATGAAATATGTTTCAGTATAACCTTCCTTCCAAAATCAGAATTACATTAGACTCTTTTGGGTTTTTTTCACTTAAACATTCTCACTATATTCTTACACACTGCACCTTTAAGCATCTCCATTTTAAAAATGCTCAAAGGTGTGAAACACTGAAGAAAACCTTTTAAAATGATTATTTCTGATCATAATCAGTCACTCTGAGTTTTTCTTGCAGGCTGAACATGAAAATAGTCTCCTACACCCATCTCCTGCATTAGCTTTGAAAAGAAAATAGACGGTGAAACTCTAGGATCGGAAAATCCTGACAGATCTACGTAACACTGTCACTTAACATTCATGGACTCACCCATCTTGACAAAGCTGTTGTTGGTTTATTATCCAGGGAACATCAGAGAATGTTTCAACTAGCAGAAGCTAACCATTAGCATTAGCAACTCCCGCACACAGCAGAACTCCTCCAGGCTTGGGTTATTTGTGGAGATGAAACAACGTCGCAAAGCAAGCAGAGTTAGTGTTAAGAGTCATGTTGCTGTTAGCAAATTAGAGGTGAGACGTCCAAATATCAGGAAATAAGAGCCCAGATCCTGTCGTCTGAAGCAACTTTCTCCAGCAGCGGACGTCTCTGTGCTGATACAGGCGCTTCTGGGCTTTTTTTGGGTACAAAGCATTCATTCGTAGAGACCACTGCAGATGTATTGATTAAACAAGCGTACACCATTAAAGGATGGTATGTTGACACGGTCTTGCCGAGGGCTCTTATTGTGAAAGCTTTAAAATGAAAGTTATGTGTTGATGAAGTGGATGGCTGTGGGGATAATAAAGATAGTAGATGGGCTTGTTTATCTAAATAGCCTCACACAGTGAAATATAAACTTCTGGTTACAACAGCAAAATGAATTGGATATTGGACTCTGGGACTGGAATCAGTTCAACAGTTTATATATTTTTAGCTGCATGGGCACCGAATACAGTTTTAGTTGTAATCCCGTTTTAAAACACTGATCCAAACCATAAGACATTTGACCTAACCAAGAGAAACAGTAAAAATGTCATCCCTAGTTCATTTGCCTGGCTGATTCTATTGAACATCAGACTCATACAACATAATCAGACAATATTATTATATGTCAGCTGGGTAGGATTTTTTTTCTTCAGGAAAATAAAATCAATCTTCTCTCGGCTCAGCAGCCTGGTTCATCTGAAATATTTTCCATTCCACTTCTCTGACGATGTGAGAAGCACACATTAAGATAAGCTTATCCAAAAGTTCTTAGCTGACAGCAAACAACAGAGTTGGAGGAAGAGTGAGATGTCATCTGTTCCTCAGGCTTCTGGGACGTTGACCCACATTCTTCTGAAAACTCCATAACTCCATAAAGTTGGTCAACAGCAGGAAACATGAAGTGCTCTAAAACCTCCTGGTAGACGGCTGCGTTGACTTTGGACCTCAGATTAATTGATTGATTGAAGCAACCTGGATTATGTGCCTCTCTTCTCTCCCTCCAGACTCTGGGACCTTGATTTCCAAAGGAAATAAGAAATTCACTTTCATCAGAGAACACAACTTTTGACCACTCAGCAGTAGTCCAGTCCATTTTGACTTTAGCCCAGGTGAAACGCTTCTGACGCTGTCTCTTGTTTGAGTGGCTTGACACAAGGAATGGGACAGGTGAAACCATGCCATCTGTGCATGATGGTTCTTGAAGCACTGACTCCAGCTGCAGTCCACTCTTTGTGAATCTCCCCCACAGTTTTGAATGATGTTTTAGCAATGGCCCTTCGTGTCTTGCCCTCCTTGTGAAAGGTGTCGATGGTCGACTTCAGGACAACTGTCAACTCAGCACTCTTCCCTATGATTGTGTATCCTACAGAACTAGACTGAGAGACCATTTAAAGGCTTTTGCAGGTGTTTTGAGGTAATTAGCCGATTAGTGTGGCACCAGGGGTCTTCAATTTTCATCCATTTAACAATATTCTAATATTAGGAGATGCTGAATTTGGGATTTTCATTGTCAGTTATAATCATCAAAATTAAAAGAAGTAAACATTTGAAATATATCAGTCTGTGTGTAATGGATGAATCTAAAATAAGTTTAATTGTTTGAATGCTGTTAAGCATTCAAACTATTGTTTTCCTGTTTCTCTTTATTGTTTGAATGCTGTTAAGCATTCAAACTATTGTTTTCCTGTTTCTCTTTATTCTTCTTCTTCTTATTCTGCTTCCGTACACTTTTTGAACCGCTTCTTCTCCTTCAACTTTTGAGCTATTTCAACAATTTTATACCAAAACGTTCAGCTCGTTAAGCTCTTTCCGGCTATTACTTTTGGCATTGATATCTTTAAAATTTTTCGAGTTATTAAGCTTTTTCTGCAAAAATTTTCCCATTGAAATGAATGGGATTGGTCAATTTTCAGCAAATTCCTATCACTTTTTTGACCTAAAACTCTACTGGGTTCCTTTTAACTCAGAGACTTCATTCAAAGTTTAACAAACTCACAAGACTTTCCTGTTTAACACATTAAAGAGGCTTTTTGATATCTTTTACGGTTTTTCTAAAATCGCAGGTAGAAGTTGAGGTACGACTTGAAATTTTCAGAAAAATTCACAAAAGTTATAATGGGGAAAGATAGGAGCAGTGACCCTCCCTTGCTCCATTTCTGGCATTGTAGCAAGAGAACCGTAGGTCCGATTGAAATGAAACACACACTGGCTTACAGCTAACAAAAATACCTTCGTTTTGAGCTATAATCCATGACTGTACTCCAAACATTGTGGTCGTACGGTTAACTTGTTTGAAAAAATTCAAATTTAAAAAAATGTCTCTCCCCACTGTAAACTGAAGATTCCGCACTCTAACTTTTGAACTTCACATCTTCTGTGAACAACTCTTTACTACCCCCAGACCGTTTGGACTACCAAAACAAATTATAACTCAAAAAGTAGGAATTTTTGTCAGCTTTTCAGAATGGGTTTCATTTTCTCTGTAGGTGTTACCGTTCTTTAGCTACAAGCCTCAGAAGGAGGAGAGACCCAGATTCTGTCTCATTGAAACCCATGTTAAAGGAAGAGAGATTTTCTCCTGAGATCGGCTTCACACAGCTAAAAGTTTCTC